TCTATACTACCCAAACTGATCTACAGATTCAATGCAATACCTATTAAAATCCCATCAGCATTCTTCACAGATATAGAAAAAATAATTTTACGCTTCGTATGGAACCAAAGAAGACCCCGAATATCAAAAGCAATTCTAGGCAACAAAAACAAAATGGAGGCATTAATATGCCAGATATCAAACTATACTACAAAGCTGTAGTAATTAAATCAATATGGTATTGGCACAAAAATAGGAATATTGACCAGTGGAACAGATGTGAGAATCCTGATATAAAACCATCCTCATATAGCCATCTAATCTTTGACAAAGCAGACAAAAACATACACTGGGGAAAAGAATTCCTCTTCAATAAATGGTGCTGGGAAAACTGGATAGCCACCTGTAGAAGGCTAAAACAGGACCCACACCTTTCACCTCTCACAAGAATCAACTCATGCTGGATAACAGACTTAAACCTAAGGTATGAAACTATTAGAATTCTAGAAGAAAAAGTTGGAAACACTCTCCTAGACATTGGCCTAGGCAAAGAGTTTATGAAGAAGTCCCCAAAGGCAATCACAGCAGCAACAAAAATAAATAAATGGGACATGATCAAACTAAAAAGCTTCTGCACAGCCAAAGAAATAGTCATGAAAGTAAACAGACAATCTACAGAATGGGAGAAAATGTTTGCATCCTACGCATCCGATAAGGGGCCAATAACTAGAATATACTTAGAACTCATGAAAATCAGCAAGAAAAAATCAAATAACCCTATTAAAAAGTGGGCAAAGGACTTGAACAGAAACTTTCTAAAGAAGACAGAAGAATGGCCAACAAACATATGAAAAAATGCTTAACATCTCTAATCATAAGGGAAATGCAAATCAAAATCAAAAAGTGATGAGATATCACTTAACTCCAGTGAGAATGGCCTTTATCAAAAAGTCTCCAAACAATAAATGCTAACGTGGATGCGGAGAGAGAGGAACACTCCTACACTGCTGGTGGGACTGCAAACTAGTTCAACCTCTGTGGAAAGCAATATGGAGATACCTTAAAGCGATACAAGTGAATCTACCATTTGATCCAGCAATCCCATTGCTGGGGCATCTACCCAAAAGATCCAATGACACTCTACAAAAAAGACACCTGCACTCGAATGTTTATAGCACCACAATTCATAATTGCAAGGCTGTGGAAACAGCCCAAGTGCCCATCAATCCCAGAATGGATTAATAAAATGTGGTATATGTATACCATGGAGTACTATTCAGCTCTAAGAAACAATGGTGATATAGCACATCTTATATTTTCCTGGTTAGAGCTGGAACCCATACTACTAGGTGAAATTTCCCAAGAATGGAAAAACAAGCACCACATATACTCACAGCAAATTATACATAATACCAGCAAATTGGTATTAACTGAGCAGCACCTAAGTGGACACATAGGTACTACAGTAATAGGGTATTGGGCACGTGGGAGGAGGGAGTGGGGCGGGTATATACATATATAATGAGTGAGATGTGCACCATCTGGGGGATGGTCATGCTGGAGACTCAGACTTGTAGGGGGAGGAGGGAATGGGTATTTATTGAAATCTTAAAATCTGTACCCCCATAATATGCCAAAATAAAAAAAAAAAAGAAAATCAGATCCAATTCAAGGTATTAACAGTTTTGTTCCAGATAGTGGGCCTTCATATAAGTCATCTATTATTCACTCTTTCCCGTGTGTTTTAACATTTACTACCTTCATTTATCTGTCCATCCACTCAGCAAATATGTATACATGTGCCTAACACTGCTGTGGTGGTGAGCAAAACAGAGCTGCCATCTTCCCTCAAAGAGTTCACAGTCTAGACAGAAAGAGACAAGAAATGAGCAATTGCAGTGCAGTGTGCTAAGGTGACTCAGTAAGTAAGCACAGGTGCCACTGGATTCTGAACCAGACTTGGGCAAAAGCCTCAGACCTGAAGGCTACCTGGGAGATGTGGGAGAGAGTTTTTTCCCTACATTATTTACCACTTCTGCCACCATAACCTTCCCCCAAATGCTGAGCCACTTATCCTTTAAAACTGCAACCTAAATATGGTCAAAATTCCCACAGGCTGACATTTGATAAAAATAACATCACTAAATCTTGAGGATGAAGTGAAAGAAAGAAAAATACAGAAGATACAAACAGCACAAAAATAGTCAAGTCCTCAAAATGTAAGATGTTGACCCTTAAGATAACTGTACTGCATCCAAAGAAGTAGAACATCTTCACTTGAACATAGCCTGGCTTTCCACTCCCTTAGAGCCACATCTTCTTGGGGGTAGGGATATTTGTTTATATCATGGGGAAGCAGCCTCTAGCTAATTATCTATTTCCAAGGAAGATGGGAAAACAGCTTTCATTAATATCTCTTACTCTTATTTTGAATACTTGTTAAATGAGAGTATTTTCCACATTGAATTGGCTACATCAAGATAAGCAATAAAATGATCACTCTCACTCACTCCAAAAAACGTAATGTTTTTGCTGACACTGCTTGCATGGTATCTCACCTTAACTTTGGAAGACATACACACACATTCATACCCACAGATATAATAAGACAGGACACTGATACAGCAAATTTTCAATCTTGAACAATGGACATATGCAGAAATATGTGTGCAGCTACAACTTCAAATCACTGCCCCATTAACCCGAGAGGACTATGAAAGCAGTTTCTTAAAAGTTACTGAATTGCTCATGCCAAAGGACTTAGGTCTGAGTTGGTTTCTATAAAATACATGTCTTTTTATTCTTCTCTTCCCTTCCTATCTCTTTTATTTTGTGTTCTTTAAATAAACATTGTCTGTTCTTTCCATTTTTTTCCCCCTCATCCTTCACTTTCTTTCCCTGCTTTTGAGGAAACAGCAAGACCTAGGGGCCACAACTGAGGAGGTGGTCAGGATCAAGAAGGCTGGCTGGGACTGGCAGAACCAGCACCAGGGATGCCGGACTGCCAGGGCCTTTGGGGAAAGGTAAACAGAGTGAGGACCAAAGCCAGTGGGGCCTTCAGGGATGGGACCAGGACCAAGGAGGCAACTGAAGCCAATGGAACTGAGAAGGTGCTTGGTGGAATTGAGATATCGGTTACATACAGGATGAATGATTAAATACAGGGTTCTCACTGTTAGTGCTAGATATACAGAAAGGGTAAAGGCCAGTGTGCATCTTGTGGTACTGAGGTGGAATTAGAGATACCAGTGTGAGTTCATGTTTAAGAGATGGATGGATGGATAAACAGATAACAGAGAAATACATATAGATGCTATATGTTGTGTGTATATATATGCTTGTAATTTCTAGCTCTGCCCACGTAGAAGGCTTAGGCATGATGCCACTCAGGAAGAGGTGAGCATGCTAGCACCTAGATCTTGGTTTCTAAAAGCCATTATTCACTAAAGGAGGTTCCATTCCTTAGAGAATGGGCTGACTCAAGGACTGGAACAGCAAAAAGTACAATATGAAACTGGAATGTCTTGTACCAGAAAGTGAGGAAATGTTCAAACAATGAAATCTTGTCAAAGGATTTATATGCTAATGTTCAAGAGCTCCTACTAGCCCAATTTGGGATAATGTGAGCATCAAAATAAATAATCATGTTAATATGTTATATCCCATTGAATAAAACAGCTATCCATCAGTCTACACTGATACAAATCAACAAATGGGTAAACAGATAAATATAGGAGATAGGAACTTTCCTTACAGTAGGATTCTAAGTAGCAAATGTAGATGGGTGATGAAATTAGGCAATCACTGTTTAATAAACATCATTGTAATAAGTGATTCAGGCAAAAATCATCAATGAATGCTAAATCTAGTGTTTGAAAGTTTAAAGAATAATTGAATATTTCCATAGTTTTAAAATATTCCATACATGGGAAAATTAGTAACTTTACATTAGAGAAATCTTGCAAACATCACCTTAATTAATTGATCAGCAATGTATGCCTCCTGTATTGGTGAGAAGAGGGCATCGTGGTGAGGAATTCCTACTAAAAATCCACAATCTGGACCTAAAATGAAGAAACATCAGGCGAACTTTAAGTGAAAGACACTCTAGAAAATAACTGGCCGGCACTCATCAAAAGTACCAACAAAATAAAAAGGAAGGAGGTACTGAACAAAATGTTCCACACAGAAAGCTGAAGAGACATGACAACAAAATGCAACACATGATCCTGGATTAAATCCTGGGCTGGAAAAAAAAGTGTTTTTATTTCTTTTTTTAAAAAAAAAACAAAAAACAGGGAGCATTATTAGAGACAATTAGTAAAATGGAAATGGGGCTTTAGGGTTTGGTGGTAGGACTTCATCAATGTTAAATTCCTGATTTTGCTGAGGGTGTCAGCAAAATCATGTGTCATGCCTGAAAATTACACTTAAATAATTTGGGGAAGGTATATAAAAAAAAATAATAAATGTGGTCAAATATTAAGAACCGGGGAAGTTGAGAGTTCTTTTTACTATTCTTATAACATATCTTTAAGGTAAAAAATATTTCAAAATAAGTAGCAAACAACCATATGTTACTCATTTGTAAATGCATTAAAATAAAATTATCTTAACAGGATTAATAAACAAAATTATAAAATTAAAAAATATAAAGTAAAAAAATATATATGAAACTAAATGTCAACAGTGTTATCTAGTTTCAATGTTGCATCATATCTTTGAAGCATTATACTGTTTTGAAGATAAAATATAGTTCATCTTCTTCTTCCTTTCATTGTATGTTTGGGCTACTGCCTAATGTGAAAAAAATTAACAAAATACATAAAAGTTTTAAAATATGACTAATACACAAAATCTGCAAAAAAATCTTAAGAAAAATTCTGATTAAAATTGTTGTCATTCTTTTATTTTTCCAACTTATGTATACATGATATAGATCAGAATCAGAAAAATTTAGTTTTGTTCTCAAAGGAAGAAACAAAATAAATCAATTTTCTTGCTTTCTCTTTCTTGGCTAGGTTTCATATGTCAAAGCTATTGACATTTGGATGGCAGTGTGCCTCCTTTTTGTGTTTTCAGCACTTCTGGAGTATGCAGCTGTAAATTTTGTATCAAGGCAACACAAAGAACTTCTGAGATTTCGGCGAAAGAGAAAGAATAAGGTAAGTGACTAAATGTTTTGGGTCTGGTGGAATCCAATTTTCACTGGAAAGTGAATTTGTTGTATTCGACAGAGATGCAAAGAGAAGAAATTTGGGACAGGGGATGAAATGATATGCTATTCCTTTCATTTTGTCCAATTGAAACTTGAAGTGTCAAAAATAGCTTCAGGGAGAAAAATATAACACCTAGATATACTTTAAACAGCGTATCTGGTGGCATGAGACTTTTATCAATTTCTAATGTACTTCCTGTAACACACTGTGTTTTGCATCAATTAGTGAAATATTTCTTACTTGCAATGTTACAGTGTTGCTAATGTCTCTACTTGAATTAAGTCATCAAATACATTTATTAACATCGTTCCTTTTTCTGAGCTAATTACTTTAATGGTTTCCATCAAATATTGCTTATTTACTAATGCCACGATGATAAGTTCATGCAAAACTATTTGGTTTCTTTTTTATGCATATTTTCTTGTTCTTAAGACATTTCTTTGGAAACCCTTTGGGAAATACAATAAAGTGCTATTGTTGCCTTGCTATCATCTGGTAAAATGAAACCAGAAGAAAATTTATTTAGAACATTATTAGGAGATCATAGGAAGCTACAGAAGTAGCCTCCTATTGGATTTGGATGCCCTAAATGGGTCGCTCCCCTCCATTCAGACCTGTAATGGCATCTCCCTTTACATACATGTGCTTTTGACCAATCCCTTTCCTCTTCCATAAAGGAGAGTTCCTATTGACAGAAAATCTCTGAGCTTATTTCTTCTGGTGTGAATGTGCCAAGTGACATTTTAAAAAGCAAATGGTCTTCAAAGCAATAGACAGCAATGTCGAAGTTATGCATAATTGTGGACAGGATCCAATATATGAAATATTCAAGTCAAAACATGATTCTTAATAATAATTGTATGGTTCATATAATGTACATTTTTAAGGATTTTTAAAGGTTTTAATTTTTTTAAGGATTCTTTATGGTTTCTGAATTATTGATGCAATTTATAAATTTATTAAATTTTCTGAAGCACCAAGCTTTGATCTCTCACTGTTTGAGTCTACTTAGCATTAAACATATTCTAAAACACTAACTTATTCAATCATTTCTAGCTCCCCTCAAAAATCATCACTACACCAATAAATACCCAGTTAACTGCAGCATTGAAAGAATAGCAGCATTGGGGGACCAAGTATTATGATGAACAGAAAACTATGCTAGAGCTTGCATTTGGTTAAATTTTTATGAAAACAAAATCATATCATTTGCATATTGAAATGAATTGTGATGGGGAAATTAACTTTTCTTTATCTTCCCCTACCTCACTGTAGTCTACTGGTCTCTACATTTCCTCATTCCCCTTTTATGTCTTTTTCCTCCCCTCCTCTCTCCCTCTCTCCCACTTACTTGCTCTCCTTTTCTCTCATGATACCTGGCACTGGCTGAAAGAGAACAAATGCTGTAACACAGCGGGGGAAGCCCTTGTCTTTCTTTCCTATTAGTAATTGATAGAGACAATTTTCCCCTGTAGTGTCATTAACCAGAAGGAAAGCAATACTCATTTTCCCTATCACTATGATTTGCTTTTTCATTTTTATTTTCTATTTCTTTATCTTCTTTCTCCTCTTAACCAATTTAGAATGTATCAACTATCTGCTGCAAATACTAGGAATGAGAAATGTTATGTATATGGTGTCAACATGGGGAAAGGCTGAGAGCCCAGACAGCTTCTCCATTCACCACCCATCCAACAGCCACAGTGTCCAGTGGGAAAATGTAGACACTCAACTGTGGGTCCTCTTTTTTAAAAAATTATGCTTACCAAAATGTCTTTTACTCAATTTTACCACAGGTGGAAGATAAAAAATATGGGATGCCCCTTACTCTTTAGCTCATAGAAAGATATAAAGATTAATTTTTCCAGTGATTGATACTTTGGGATAATAAAGAAATGCAAAAATTGTCATATATTATTATTTTCTAACAACTACTTGATATACTCAGGGAGCAAATGCAACTAAGTGTAATTAAGATTTAATGCAAAAAAAAAAAAACTAGGTTTTTTTTTAAGTTTTATTCATACCTTGGGGTAGCTACCTTGCATTTGTGAAAATCTATTAATTGATACATATGTATGTTCAAATGGTATATGTGATTAAAAACAATTGTATAATTATATTTAATCATATATGACTTGATTCTCTGGTTTCTCAATCCCTCTTGGTCCACTTCCCACAGACAGAAGCTTTTGCATTGGAGAAGTTTTACCGTTTCTCAGACATGGTAAATTGACTTTCTTAACTCTAAATAAAGGAATGTGGTCATCAGTAAAAAGCAGACAGCATATTCTGCACCACTGAGGCAGTGTTTGGTGGGGAAACATGGCCCCTTTCATATTTTAAGTGTAGAAAACACAATCCCCCTTCAACTAAGAAGGGTATTCTCTTTTTCTAACAACTTCACTCTTGTCTTACCTCACTCCATAAAAGGATATTTAAATATTGCCTTTCATTTTATCAAAGAGCTATTTGATTAGTCAAAATGATTTCTAAATATATATTAAAGAGAAATATATATATCTTCCAATAATCTTCAAAGGAGAAGCAATCATATAGAATAGAGACATTAGTTTCAAAATAAGTGGAAAATTTATTTATACAAATTCTAAAAGCAGCTGTACAGGAGACTTCCAAATAAGGCAAAAGCAAATGCTTGTACATTTACGTGCCTTCAGAACCCATCTTAATGTTAAAATATGTAGAGATTATTTATAGCAAATGAACAATTTTGTTTTGATAGCAGCATCCTTTGAAATTTTTGAATAAAAAGAGATCCCAAGGACACATGTCCAAGTATAACAGTTAAATATTTCAAAAGGTAATCTAGAATAGATAGTATTAGTCCATAGGTGGTTTGACTTGTGGGCCCAGTATATATAGTATGCAATAATTAAATATAAATCTACTGAAGCAGAGAATTTAGCCTGGGAAGTCAAATACAAATAGTCCTCTTTACTAAACTAAAATAGCTGGAGTAAAGTTTGTTTAAAAGTAGCTCCCTAAGGCCGAGGTGGGCGGATTGCTCGAGGTCAGGAGTTCGAAACCAGCCTGAGCAAGACTCTATCTCTACTATAAATAGAAAGAAATTAATTGGCCAACTAATATATATAGAAAAAATTAGCCGGGCATGGTGGCACATGCCTGTAATCCCAGCTACTCGGGAGGCTGAGGCAGGAGGATCGCTTGAGCCCAGGAATTTGAGGTTGCTGTGAGCTAGGCTGACACCACAGCACTCACTCTAGCCTGGGCAACAAAGCGAGACTCTGTCTCAAAAAATAAAATAGAAAAAAGTAGCTCCCTAGATGATTCTAATGTACACTACAGTTAAGGATCCCTGCAAGAGACATAATATTAAATGAATATTGCAGTAATCTCAACTTCATAGCAGATTACCTAGACCCAGTATTATTTTAAAATTTGCTTTAAAATAAGTTTTATAACTAAAATTACATGTTATTTCCCAGCATCCCACTTCTCCCTTTGTTTTTCATCTCAGGAAAATGATCTATTTTACTTTTTTTATTTGATAATTTTAACTGTAAATTTTTAATGACATGGAATTTGCATAATCTGATGTAGTGTTGCAATATATGTTTATATATACATATATGTATAAGACTACATAATAGGGACTATCTATATAATCCCTCTTTGGAAGATCAAGATATTATATCTCCAGTAACTAAACAGTTAATGTTTATAGAAACTATAGAATGAAAGTTATATATTCAATTAAATATTGTTTTACAAAGAACTCTGGTGAAAAATCAGGCTTACCTCAAAGATAATGAATTCTTATTTTTATTAAAAAAACAATGTGGTAATATAAATATATTCACTAGAAACTATATCCCATTTATTTTTTAAATATTATAATCATTGGGCAAATTCAGGGGTGCTTACTTTGACTTTTTGAAAACTATTTCCGTCAACTAACAACTCTTTGGGCAGACCAAACTCATCATTTTTTTTAAACTATGTATTTGGCTTAGAAATAGTCTGAGCAATCTAAATTTTTAAATAAACATAATAAAAATGAGCCCAAATGTTGACCCTATCCCCTTTATCATGAGTATTGGTTTACACGAATTTCTTCAGTGGTCTGATATGGCAGAACAGGCAATGTACATAAAATGGTCTGATCATAAAAGTTTGTCACCATAGGGAACCTTCCACTAAGGCAAATATTATTCCTAGGGAAGTTTTAACTTGGTTTGGCATTGGCTTAGGCATTGTATACAATCTTTTGTACTTTTCTTTTTCCTCTCTTAAGGTACCAGAGAATCCTTTTTCCACTGTGAAAGAACCCAAGTTTGCTCTTATTCCCTATTTCCCCACCCCACACTGCCATGGCCTGCTGATTACCCACCGCACCATGTCCCGGATGCGCTCTCCAGTGCTGTGTATATGTGGGTGTGTGCATGACATGAATGTATTTTGGTTAGAGGTTGCTATTCTCATGTATGGTATCATTACTTTAGTGTTGGGGGCTTATAAAGACATACCAAGTATCTCTGAACATGTTGTGTGTTGAGCAGTATGGATGCAATGGGATTGCTTTAATGCATTTCATGTAGCTTCTTCCACAATGCAACATAATGATACAATGGTTTGCTGAGAAAAAACACATTCCCACAATATTCTAGTGCCTCTGTTTTCCTACTTATCATTTATTAATTATTGTTTATATATGCAAATGAAATAGCAATAGATCATTAGTTCTAGATTTAAGAAATCATGACTGAGTTTATGTTTTGTTAAGCACAATGGTTAGTTTTTTTTTTTAATACAGATATCATTGACTGCATTTTGACTACCTGTATGCAAACTTGTAATTATTTTATTTACTTGTGTATTTATATGCTGTTTTACTTTAAAAATAATTCAAGATGTTCATTGTTTGTAGAGAGCAGAGTTGAAAAAAAAAGAAAAAAATAATTAAAGATAACTTCTAAGGATAATAAATAATTTATTTTTCTGCCCTGTGAATTTTGTCAGTTCTATAGTCTTAGTACAAATACAAATATACATGTATACTATTTTGGTTGAAGAAATTGAGGCTCCACCATTGAAAGAGATATGGCATCTATATACACTAAATTACATCATAATCTTTCCATGCCAGGTCAGTTTTACTATATTCTAGAGTTAAGATATTCTTAAAATAGATGAAATATTTCCTACAAATTTCTTTTGTACATAGATGAGGAAAATAGTTTCCCAATAATTTATATTCAAACAAAATCTATTTCAATGACTGATATCACAGATTAAAATTTCACCTTCTCAAGCAAAACAAAAATTATATGATTTTAATTATTTCCTGAAAACAAATATTCAGAGTTTATGTTAAACACAACTATTTCTTAGAGCTATGTGCTCTCTAAAAATCTGGTCAGGACAATAATATCCAAAAGTAATATAATCTGTAAACTAAATTCACATGAATTATAGTGATTTCCTTCTCAAAGTTAACTAAAATAGAAATGCCACTTTTCTAAATACGCCGTTTGTTGTAACATATCACTTCGTAATTATGAGTTAGCACTGAAAGAATCTAACATATGCTAGAAATAGACATATAGATTTTTAAATAAATCATTCCATTGATTTCTCATCTGTCTCCTAAAATATTTATATTATATTTTCATAACATTTCACCTAAAACATTTATCTTTTTAAACTTACATTTTATCATTTATTAATCTCCAAACCATTTCTGAATCTAAATTCAATATGCCAAGCACAAACTTGGCTAATTAATAGCTAATTCAGATGTCATCTATAATAAATGCAAGGTTCTCCTGGAGTTAACAATTGACTTATACCTATAAAATATTTTTTAACTTCATCTATAATTGCATTCTTTTAAGCCATCCATTTTTAAGTGATATAGAAATATATATAGATGTATGAAAATGACTATTTTATTTTAGACTGACATTTTAGAAAAACAATTTTTAATTCATTCATATCCGTTATCTCAAATTTTTCTAAAGGATGATGATTTTTCCCAAGAAATAAGTCATTGTTACATTTGCAATTTTTAAAAATCTATACACATGGAAACCATGTAAATGGAAATTAATAACAATTCAGTTTGCCTTCCTCTGTTACTTTCCCATTTGACAAAAAAAAGTTACAGAAAATTATTTACAAAAAGACCTTTGGAATAATCTATTTAACACTTTAATTGGATAAAGAATATCCCAAAGCTACCTAGTAAGCTAGAAACATTAGGAATAATGTATTTAATACTATTATATCTTACAGCAATTCACATAATCAACATTCACACTGTCATAAATGCTTAATTTTTTGTTCATACTCAATGGCAATCTTCATATCTTCACAATTCTTACATTTAAAAAGTTTGTTTTTATTTATTTTTTTGTCATTTTTGAGGACTAAGAATAGGATAGGAATTATTTCTTATCTCACATGCATGTTACTATGTATTTCTAGTTACAGTATGATGTATTTTATATAAATCAGTCTTTGGCATAATTCTCTAAATAAAAGCAAAGGTACTTAGAAAGTATCACAGGATAGTATTGATGCATAATTACCGAACTGTTCCAAATTTAGTGAAAAAGGGTCTTCCTGTAAAAAGAATTGTATAGTAACCAAATGGCTTTTTCCATTCTTCATTGCCTACCCTTCTAGCTTGCTTGAAGCATAACAATTTACTTATGGACAAAGTAAACTATTTCTTTAATTTTATGTTTTTAATTAGCCATCTTTTTTAGACCACGTTTTAGTTCATTCTATTTAATTTTTATTGTTACATATATTTTGAGTTGTAAAGTGTGTTAATTTTATAACCATTAAATATTGGCTAACACACAGTGTCTCTAAATCAAAAGTTTTAGGGCTTTGTTTTTTTAACTCCTTGCTTTTTTGGCAAGTAGTCCATTAGAATTTAAGCTGAAGCTATTTCCTGAAAATTGAAATATCTGAAAGAAATATTTGAGTGCTAATTAGAATAAATAATATCAGTGCACATCTAAGCATAAATATATACAGGATAATTTCATAACTGGGTTATTCAGATCATAGTAATAAAATATTTAATGCATCTTCTAATTTAGTAATCCAATAATGATAAGCTTACAGAAAAGCTTCATCTATGCTAAAAATTATTATTTAGGTGCAGCTTTTCAAAAAAATGTGAAGAAGCCAGTCATTAAAGAAAAAAAACGATCACTTGACCCTTTTAATGTC